AAAGTCACAATTTGGAAAGACGAAAGTCTTTAAGGTAGCTTTTTTTCATTGTAATTTATTTATGGAAATAGGCAAAATTAGCAAGGAAGCTTTTCGCAGAAAATTAATTAGGCATAATTAAAACGACAGTGAATGTTTATTCACTGTTGACTTCTTACAAAACTAATGCGATTCGCTAGACAGAAGTTTCCGCCCATTTAATAAGTAGACCTTGCTCTGCAATATAATGACATATTTATTATTTATAATTTTCACGTATATATTTGCATGGCTAGCTAAATAAAGAATAAGCATATATATACGTACTCATCATTACTTATTGATGAAGCTAGCGGGAATTCTTATTAGGTAAATACTTCCTTTTCCTTCTCTCACTGATCTAGATCATATTAATTTCTTCTAAACTGGTTATAAAAAGCTAGTCTAGCCGGCGCTACAAATGAATCTCCCATGTGATTTTTTTTTTTTAATGCAATATGAATCTCCTGCGCACGCAATATATCTTATGCTCAAGAAAATGGCCGGCCACAAAATTACAAATTTGGAGAGTACTCCTGATTAGAAATTGTTATACTCTAGTCCAATCGAGGAGAATCATGAGGATTTTTTTTTTTTTTTGTTTAAAGATGATCATTAGGTATATTTAAAGAAGAAATAAAAAAAATCCTGAAACATGATTAGTTTAAGTTTCCATCCGACATGTTTAAATGAGGAGAACTTGAGAAGCAAATTTAGAACTCTACTGTAGGGACAATTATATTCTGTTCTTCTAATTTGGGTTATATATGATACTATTGAGACAAAACCCTATCACTTATAAAATAGTGGGTCCTATTAAGTTGGGTTCTACCTATAAATTTAGCGGGACCCATCTTTTATGAGTAGCGGGATTTTAACACTGTCGATCTGAATATGATCAGTTAGTGCTTTACGATACAGGCACAGCCTATTTAACGACTGAGGACAGCAAGAATGCAAGTTAAAATTTGAAGAGACTGGGAAATAAAAAATGTTGATAACAAAAAGCAAGCAAAAGGAAGAAGAATCAAGAAGGTGATGTATTTATCTGTGCTATATATGATTAATTACTAGTTGAAAGCACGCGTTATTTGTGTGTATCCGACTTGTTATATTTTTTGAATAAAAAGATTTAAATTTTTTTTCAAAAATAAAATTTCTTATTGACTTATTATTCCTATAGGAGTTTAGTTTAGTAAATAAAAAATAAAAAAAAATTAAGCAAGAGTATATTTAAAAGAAAAATAAAGTTTTTAGTGGAGTATATTAGAAGGTAAGTTTATGGGGTACATATGAAAAAATAGTATTTGAGAGGGTTATAAAGAAAAATATTTAGGTAGGAACACATTTGAGAAGATTTAATTTTAATAAAGCAATTGGAAAAAAAATATTTATAAGGGTCATATTTCGGGGAAAAAATTGAGTAGAGAATCATCAAAATTAAAAAAAAAAAAAAAAAAAAAAAAAAAAAAAAAAAAAAAAAACAAAAAAACAAAAAACTGTTGCCATGTATCAAAAAGAAGGAGAAGCCTTCTTGTGATACCACATGTCAAAAAAAAAAAAAAAAAAAAAAAAAGCTTTTTGGTTGTTTATGTATGTTAAGATAAAAAAGGAAGAAAGTGGTTGGGTTGATGGGGATAGTCTATTTATGAATTAATGTCATAACATGTTATTATTTATGGGTAGGTACTATATAATGTGGCGTTTAATTAGGATATGTCTAAGTTCAATTAGAGATTTAGTTAATTTTTGGTTCCAAGCAAAATTAAAAGAAAATAATCCACTACCAGAAATTAATATTGACGGCACACTATATGTAGTGAAATAAAATTCAGAAGTAGGATGAAACCCAAGCAATGCACCTCCAGCAGTGTCCCTGTGCCCTCTTCTCTATTTTTAATAATTAACGTTCTAGCCCTCTTTTGACAGTTGCCGTCTTTGTGCCCACATGCCCTCTTTCTTCATCTTCCTGACGATTGTTGTCCCTTTCCTGCATCTTTGAGTTCTTAATAATTGTCGTCCCTAGGCAACTATTTTTATGTCTTTATTTATTTAAAAAATCCAAAAATAAAAAGAGAAAGAAGATTGGACTCCTATAGGAGTTCCATCTTGCAAAGGCATATTAGGAAAAGTATCTTTATTAATAGTTTTGTATTTTTCATATTAGGATGCTTCTTGATTTTAACTTTAGATAACTTACTTAATTATGTATTTTGTAATGTTTAATATGGAGCTACATTCATAGTACTCCTTATTAGGAAATTTCTTCTCTTTCTATAGTTCGTGAATGTAGGCACATTACCAACAAGTTAAATCTATTTCTCTTTCTCTTCTTTATTTTATTTTCTTATTATAATTATTATGACATATATCCAACAAGAGCAAATATTCTCCCATTATGATTCCTCTCCCCTAGAGGTATGTGATTAAAATAACCAACCAACCTTATCCAATCGTTCAGCCTCTACTTTGTTTTAAGGCCTCTTATGTTTTCCTTTTTAATTAAAATTTATCAACATAAAGTATTTTGGATGAGCCCATAGAGATCTGCTACATCCTCCACGGCCGGCGCCGTCTCACAAGAAGATTTTGATTCATTCTCAGTCTTATGTCATGTCTTTATTTGTTTGATCAGAATAAATAATTGTACAATTAATTAAAAGAGGAATTGATGTGACGTTAAAAATTTGTCGTTTTCTTGTTGGAGAAAAAGTATTTATATAAGAAACTAATTTAAACTATTTAATGACTTTGTCCATGTTCCATAGATAAGGCGTTCTTTTAATCTTATCGGTATTTGACTAAAAACGCTAATTGATACAGGGAAAATTTTCCAAGATTTTTACACAAATGCATCCTATATTTTTGTTGATTGGTACGACCCTCGTGCATTTTTTTTTAAATTTTACACTTCGAATCCAATAATTAACGTCCATTAATTGAAGTCTACTATTGCATATTGGACTATATTATCAAGGATTATAAAATTTAGAGTCCTAAATACCAAAATCATATTGAAAGTTTGACATGCAACTTTCTCTTAATTTATACTCGATGTAGCCTTTGAATAGTGTCATGTTTTTTTAGGTTAGCAATCCGGGTAGCGACACGACAACACGATTCGAAACATGCACGAAGTTAGAGGATTTGGGTTTATTATAAATGGGTTTGGGTCATAATTGAGTTGATACGATTAACACGATTAATAAATAGATTAGGTTAGGGTTGACCTCCTAACACGAATTGACACGATTAACTATATGTGTCATTGCAATCTAATAATATGTGATATAACATGAAAGTTTATATGACATATTAAATACAAATAATGTGAATTTTTATATTTGTAGGTAAAATTCATTCATTTTTCTTAAAGAAAAAGATAAATTGACCAATAAACATGTTAAACATGTCTTGATCGTGTTAAATAAGTTATTATTATATTAGTTATTTATTCAATATATTACTTTAAATGGGTTATACGGGTTTACACGATTAACACGATTAATAAATGGGTCGTCTTTGGGTTGATATTTTTGACACGTTTAATAAACAGGTTGTGTTTGGGTTAATATTTTTTGACACTATTAATAAATGAGTTGACACAAATATGACCCACTAACACGAATTGTCACTCTTATGTTTTTTGTGGCAATGACGTCGAGTCACTTGGCACTTTCTGGCTGCGGCAGTACTACACTACAATTTACGCCATTGTAAAGCTACAACCTAGTAGAAGACACTACCGCACAAAGATATTCATATAAATATTTAAAAAAAAAACTTTGTGTCCCGATGTGAATTTATCTCTATAGACATAAAGAAGTGAGCCCCACACAGTGGGACTCACGTGGACCCTACAAGTGGAACCTACTTTTATGTCTGATGAGGATAAATTCTCATCAAGACACATAGGAGTGCTTAATATTTTTTGAATGTGACACTTTTTCTCTCCGCCCTCCAACTAAACCGTCGTAAAAGATTGTAATCGTGTATTAACCAGTAAAGGATATATTATATGACATTCTAGTGTGCTTTACCAAGAAAAATAAAATGTCACAATAAAAGCTTTTTAGCGCCTATATATATCTTGGTTTTCATAATAAGCCAACTAGAAATTCAAACATATCCTGATTTTTTCTCTCTTTTTCAAAAATGATATCTACTAATTCCGTATGCACGTATATGTAATATATGTGTGTGTGTGTGTGTGTATATATATATATATATATATGTATCTGCAATTGTATGTAAGGTGACCAAATTTATTTCCTCAACATTAATATATATGAAATAGAAATATTATGAGATTATCATTCCAATAACGGCCAACTAATTGCTAACTCAATTTCCCTTGAATCTCTCAACAATCCTTCAGACGCAGAATACGGTAGATATATACACCGTTCAATTAATTAATTGCAACTATTCTATAGTTATATATAATTATAATAATAATTCCTCTAGTGGATATATATTTCGCAAGATCCGCGAAAAGTATGGCAAGTACTGTATATTGACAAAACGAAACGCAATATTATGATAATAACTACGTAAAAAAAAAAAAATGATGGAATTTTACCACGCGGATATTAAAAATTAAATATGACCACTTTCATTATAGTTCATTGCTGGAAACCAAGCACTGCGGTCTTAAATAAGTATATCTCTATGTATGTAGTGGTGTTTTTGCTAATGAAATATGTATGTAGTGGTTGAAGTCCGGTATTTCCTCTAGTACATATCTAATGAAACTCGACAACCACTAAGTAAATATCTTCTAACTAGTCCTTATCTTTTATAAGATTACACTACACTAGCTCAGTGAGTTCCATCTATAAATAGTCGTATTCTAGTGCAAAGATTTCTTATCCCTGATCATTAATCAATATATATATATATATATATATAGATATATATTTATATATAACATCTTAAATATCACCCTAGAGATATCTAGCAAATTAGCATATCAAGAACATATGAAGGGCATTCATTTCCTACTCATATTTATCATATTGGCTTTGGCAAATTTCATTGCCTCAGCCGATGACCCAAGCCCTCTTCAAGACTTCTGCGTAGCAATAGACGACCCTAAAAGCGCATGTACGTACATTGTTTGCTTTTCGGTTTTCTTGAAATGCTTGTACGTTTGTTTAAATAAAACATTGGTGTAGCCGAAAAGTATTTTCAATGAGGTTGCTATAAAAGAAAAGCTGTTAATAATATTCCTTAAGAAAATATATTTCAATGATTTAGTGGGAGCACGGTTATAATTTTTCTTACAAAAGTTGGGGCAAAACAGAAATTTTATACAAAAATCAAGAGTAAAAGTTACAATTCTAAAATGTGAGTGGGGCACTCACATGAACGCGCAATTCTCTTAGATAATATTTCATAATGTTGACTAGAATCACGTATGTGATACAAACTTATTTGATGAATAATTATGACTGGAAAATTAATGTTTTTCTTAATTCAAGCAGTGTTTGTGAATGGGAAATTCTGCAAGAACCCAAATCTTGCCAATGCAGAGGATTTCTCCACTTCCGGACTTGACATTGCTGGGAACACAATAAACGCAGTTGGATCCAATGTGACCGATGTAAATATTGACAGAATTCCAGGGCTCAACACTCTTGGGGTATCATTGACTCGCATTGACTTTGCACCACATGGCCAAAACCCACCTCACACTCACCCCCGTGCCTCCGAAATCCTCGCTGTTGCGACGGGAAAACTATTGGTCGGTTTTGTGTCGTCGAATCAAGACGGAAACCGCCTTTTTACAAAGATCTTAAACCAAGGAGATGTGTTTGTGTTCCCAATTGGTTTGATTCACTTCCAGTTCAATCTAGGACTTACGCCAGCACTTGCGTTTGCTGGTCTAAGCAGCCAAAACCCGGGAACTATTACAATTGCAAACGCAGTGTTTGGATCTAAGCCTCCAATTAACCCTGATTTCCTAGCCAAATCCTTCCAAGTGGACACGAGTATTATCAACTTTCTTCAAAAGCAATTCGGGAGTAACACAAGCTAGAGATATTTCAGTTCTTAATGACGTTTGCGACATATGTGTGTGTGTGTGTGTATTTGCTGTTTGGAATAAATAGAATGGTCATGTGATGAAGTGGCACTTTCCTAATTGTGGGATATTTCACTTCTCTAATGTAGTGTATTTTCCACTTTGTACTTGCTTGGTGATATACAAAACTGAATAAAACTAAAACTTAGTGTGAAGTATATGTATAACTAAGCATGCATCCGATGATAAATCAAACATGAATAAAATCTCTAGATTACCTATGTTTATATTCATGATCATAAATGCACCTAATTATAATTCTAGCAATCAGATTTTGATTAATTTTCATCTACTAAAAAGAAGTTGATCATTAATGAAGCATTACTTCCACATTTTATAAGTAAATTAAAGTTTCCACGAAAAAAAAGGGGAAAAAAAAAAAGAATGAACAAAAAATTATTAGAAAAATACAGGCATCGATTATCTGCCCAAAAACTACTCATTATTTTGAAATGAATTTACCCTTTTAACATTACCAAGGCTTACGAAACTGCAACATACATGATATCATTTCTCATATTGTTGTCAAATGGCACGCTCTTAGCTTTTTACCCTTTTTTATGAGTACTACTACTTATCCGGATGGGATATAGCCGCCCGCTACTCATCAAATATAATATACTTTATTAATAGTGTTCAAACAACAAGGTGCCTTTTCTTTTGATAAAAAGTACATTAAAATTAAAGGATACAATCATAATTAAAATCCTATATATTTTTTAAAAAATAGGTTTGTTAAATGGTTGGTAGAAAAAGATAAAAATATAGAATTAAAATGATTGGTGCATAGTTCCGCATATTAAAAAAAAAGTACTTATGTACTTTATTATTTGTTTAATGTAAATTGACGTTAGAAAGATGTAACAAATGGTTTGGATAACTAAAATTTTTAGTGCAATATATGTACAATATAAGTGTTGCATAGAATAAATGTTGTGTTACACTTTTCATTTATATATATATATATATATGTTATATAACAGACGTTCTAATCGGTAGGACAACAAACCCTACAGATGTTAATGACCAAAAATAATAAATCAACTAATCTTATCTTTCAATTTTGCCCATTTTTTCTCATCAGATTTTATTTTCTTTTATGAAAAATACTAACAAACTATAATCAAAATGCTAAATCACAATGACACTACATATGTCATTTTATAACATACTATGAGACCCATGTTGATCTTATAAAATTTCCATGATTAAAATAAGTATCAGCACTAATAGTTATTAGTGAACTCAAATTAATGATTAGTATCATACTAATGTTGGGTAGACTTTTGGATTTTTGCATAATTGAAAGCCTGACGACGTCGTGTCATATTCATCAAACATTAGCCATAAAAAAAAAAAAAAAAAATCATTCTTTACGTAACCATACATAATGCGCGTGTGTTAATATACCCACAAACACACAGAGGACAACAATAGCAAACATAATATTCTTAACAATCTTTGTCGCTCCTCCTTGGCCGGACAGATAAAGCTAGAAGACCTTGATTCCTTCTTGCCAGACTTGTTCCTTATATATTTTAGACTACTTCAATATTCCCTTTTGCAAAAGAAATTATTTTAGTACCTGTATATTTCTCATAATTATTACAATTATACCCAGTGTTTTTCTAATAATTTTATAATAATTACAAAAAAAAAAAAAAAAAAAAACACAAGCATGTACTAGAATAACTATTCCTATTCTTTTAAGAGAACTTGGCCGTATTTGCGAAAGTTCTTCAAATTGTTCTGTTTGAAAAAGTTTTAAGTTTAGTCTCATGACACCACTATTCTTTTAAGTTTTTTTTATTTTCTTTTTTATGCTTTTATTCCCTTTCCTCCTAATTGAGACAGGTTAGGGCATGTAGAGCTCCCATATAACCCAACAACTGTTAAGGACAAACAAACAATGACTTAGTTTATTATGATGCATTTATTAAATGATTATTATCTGAAACATATATCAATATATGTTAAGATAGCACGGCTTAATTAATGAGGCATCAAGTTATAACTAATTTCACTTACATGATAGGTGAAAACTGAAAACATTATAATTAATGATGTATAAAATTCTACATCTCCTGGAAGAGAAATAGAGATTTCATTGTAATATAGTTTGGTATGGAGAGGTTCTAACTTCTAAACTTGATCTTTATCATTCTATTCAGTTTTGTACCCGTTCCACAATTACCTCTTTTTTTTTTCATGTGGTGTTTAAATGTAAAGAATGGATTTATTGGTCGATTCATAGAACATAACCACTACTTTTTCTGAGAAAAAACACAACATATCCCTACTATACTAAATTATTTTGCTGGAACCTACTACTGAATTAATTGGTCTAATTACTTACTTTTACTTTATAATTAATGAGAAACTACAGCTATTTGATTTCAATCGGCTAACTAATTTTCCTTGTCATTTCAAATATAACGTGAACCCAGACAGTAAAAGTAATTAGTTTTTATCTTCATTTCAACAACTCTTGACATTCAGCGACACTAGCTAGCTAATACACGAAACAAAAGTTATTAAACGAAAATCAACGAATAAGGTTTTTTCTCTTAAAAGCAATTTACAGCGTTAGCTGTAAATTATTCAAGAGTTCTGGAAGCTCTATATGACTGTATATATGTATCCAACATTATGTATAATAAAATAAAAGGAGTGGTTGAAGACTGCAAGGTTGTATATATATCTATTGACATAATTAGGGCCAGCTAATTAAAACATCCTTAACTAAACATCAAACAATAAAAATATTGTACGTAAAAAGAATTGAATCGAATAAATATAACTTTAAAAAAAAAAGAATCTAATAAATTAACCTAAAATATTCTTCCATCATGGACATTTGTGGTACTCTGGTATATACACGCCAATAAGATTATTACTTGGGTTGTAATGCAAGAAAACTAATTAAATTGATACATAAATTAGATAGAAGATACTTAATTAGTTCGGTGCCATTGTCCAAGCAGGAGCTAATTAAATAAACACATCTATTTGTAGTGGTTGAAAAATATGGAAGCTAACTTCAAGTATAATATACATAATGTGACTATACATATAACCCCTAAATCAAAATTTACCAATTAGTCCTTAACTGCTTCACATGAAGGAACAAATACTAGACTGCTTCAAAGAGAACACCCATCTATAAATACAGGCAATCCAATGCAAGAACTTCTCAACCCACACCGTAGAAACCAAAATTTTAGAACATTATTCAAGTTAGGAAAGATGAATTCGGGTGCTCATTTCCTTCTCGCGGTTGCCATATTGGCTTTGGGAGCCTCCATTTCCTCAGCCTATGACCCAAGTCCTCTTCAAGACTTTTGTGTTGGAATAGATGACCCCAAAAAAGCCTGTACGTATACATCAAATTTTCATGTGGCAACTTCAATTTTTTTTATTATTTTTATTGCTCCTTTCACTTTTGTTATAAGTTTTATTAGAATATATATACTATTAATGTTTTATTAGAATATATATTATTGTTCGCTCGTATCTTATAGTTAAAATTCTCATTATGGACTGGTAGTTTGCATGGTATTATAGTATTTCATTTTTATAAAAAAAAAAAAAAAAAAAAAAATAGTATCAGAGCTGGAGATCTGGAGCTTACTCTTCATAATTGGTTCATTTTGAATACTTTGTTGTTGTCCGACCTCTTTGGGATGAGTTGGTAACTAACATGTATGACAATTTTTTTGATATTAACTGAAATTGTTTTTTGTCAAGCAGTGTTTGTGAATGGGAAGTTCTGCAAGGACCCTAAAATGGTCAATGCCAACGACTTCTCATTTTCGGGTCTCAACATTCCCGGAGACACCAACAACAAAGTTGGTTCCAACGTGACTAATGTGAACGTGGGCAAACTTCCAGGGCTCAACACTCTTGGCATACAATTGGTTCGAATCGACTTTGCACCATACGGCGAAAACCCGCCCCACACTCACCCTCGTGGCACCGAGATCCTCGTAGTCGTGGAGGGAACGCTCTACGTCGGTTTTGTGTCATCGAACGCAGATGGAAACCGCCTTTTCGCGAAGATTCTAAACAAGGGAGACGTGTTCGTTTTCCCAATTGGGATGATCCACTTCCAGTTCAATCCGGGACACTACCCAGCTGTGGCCTTTGCCGGTCTCAGCAGCCAAGATGCAGGAGTCATTACAATTGCTAACACCGTGTTTGGTTCAACTCCTCCTATTAATCCTGATATCCTTGCCAAGGCATTCCAACTGGACAGGAATCAGGTTGAGCTACTTCAGCAGAAGTTCAAGCCTAAAAATTAGAAAGAAAATTGAGTTATATATGGTTCGGCACGTGATCAAATAGTAGTGGATATATGTAGTAGTGTACGTTATATCATGTTTTCCTAATAATGTCTGCTACGTACTTGTGTTTTGTATGATTTACCTAAATAAGGAGGAAGGTCATATGCCTACTGCCTATACCTTTCTCCATTGTGGGATTTTGAGTACGGTCATGTGGGTTTTATTTTTTTCTTTTTAAGGAAATGCGTGTGTATTTTTATAATTTCTCTTTATTGGAATTTTGAAGTTTAATTAATTTGTGCTTCAGTATCTAAAGCAAATTCTCTCTCTCTCTCTCTCTCTCTCTAATTAACACAATATATGATAAATGACTCATTTGGGAGTCTGGGTCCCATTTGGAACGTATGATAGTCAAAAGTGAACAAGATATAATTCTACCAACAATTTGAGTCAGTCAATTTTCTCATCAAGTCATAAGTAAGATAAGATGTTCCATTTATTTATTTTTTATTATATAGCCAATTATCAAAATTGAGAGTAGAAACAGCTGAGGTTAGAAATTAAACTTTTAGCCTATGATTTTTTATTTTTTATTTTTTTGGGAAGTTGACCTCTGCAACAACCGCATATGGAGAACTGAACTGAGAACCCCATAAGGAGAAAAAAAAAAAAGAAAAAAAAAAAGAAAAAAAAAGAAGGCGCTTCACTGAAAATCCAAAAGCAGAACTGGCGGATCAAAGCCCCCCAAAATAGGCAAAATGAGAGGCATAGAACCAGTTGTGAAAGAGGGACAGAAGGAAGGGGAGATACTAACAATAGAAATTGGAATGTTGCTGTCTGCAGTTTTTTTTATTTATTTATTTATTTTTTTTCGTTTTCCGTTATGTTGTAGTTCTCAGTCCAGGTTTTTTGTCTTTCGAACTTTTTCCCCTTTATTGTCGTTTTCAGTTTTGTTCTCGTTTGAATCCATTGTCGTTTCCTTTTTATCTCGTTTTATTTATTACTTATTGTCCCAAGTAATTTTTTTCTAACCTAATTCACTGGTCTTCTATAGTCGTTTTTAATTGTGTTGTATCGTCGTTCCCAGTAATGATGCTGGCTCGACTGTTTTTATCGTTTGAATTTTTGTTGTCGTTCTCCAGTTTATTGTCGTTTAATTTTTTTAGTTTCAATTTCTCTATTTTTTATTTATTTTTTTGAGGTCATCAATTTCTCTAGTTTGACATCCATTAATGTTGTTTATTACAAAAGAACAAGGAAAATGGAATGAAGAATGGAAGGCACATTCTCATTACCTACGTTCATTACAACCAGGCATTATATAGCCTTTTAACTATTGACAACTCAGCAAAAGGAGAGCAGAGATGAGGAATAACGGAATAGCAAAGAATAACAGAAAAGCAAAAGAATAGCAATAACGAGGGAATCAATATTCTCGAGGTAACAGACTCTACTCTCGAGGTAACAAACTCCAATCAGCTATTCTAATATTTGTGTCATTGCAGTTCTTATGGTTGTTTTTCCACTTTTTATCGGCTAGTTTCCAATTTATTGTGTTCTCACAATCTCAGTAGTTTTTCTTTGTTTCGTATACTGTTACTTGTTTTCAGTTATAAAATGTCATTTTAATTTTGTCGTCGTTCGCAATGTTATTGTCTTTAAATTTTTTTTTCTTTTTCCCTTTATCACACTCGTTCACTGTCTATTGATGTACACCAGTTTATTGCAGTAATGCATTTCTGCCAGTTAAGATTTAATTCACATTTTCAGCTTATTATTATTTGCCTATCCATTGTCGTCTGTATTTTTTGTCTTTTAAGCGTCGTTTTCAGTTATAATTTCGTTTTGTATTATTATTATTACCACTAGTGCCCCTGACTTTTATATCATTCTCAATTTATCCCTTAAATTTTGAAAACTCTTATTTTGTTCATCAATTATGGATTAGTCTCATTTAAAAAAAAAAATTATGTATATAGTTACATTCTCATTTTTATGTATTATTTAAGTGTGCCCCAGTAATTTTAGCAATCAACATACAGATTTTTCTTATTTTCTGGTTACTTTTGATTTTAGGCTTTAATATTGATGCATTGGAATTGTTCTTTTTTTTTTCTTTTTTTTTTATCTTTGAAATGTCACTTTGGTTTTATATAATACTATAATTTTATCCTATTACATTCTATTTACTGTCATTATTTCTTCTTTTTTTCCTCTATAACTGGGTTTTGTCACTCTTTTTCTTGACGTTTGGTATTCTTTTTAGTTTTTTATATTTTATTTATCCATTTTCGTATGTAAACTGACTCTTTGAGTCTCTTTATTTATATTTATTTTTCTTTTTTCTCATGTTCTTTTTCTTTTGCAATGATCAATTATTGCTCTATAAAATATGCAATTTAATGTTATTCATAAAATGTTGTGAAGTTTTTTTTTTAATAGAAAATACTTTAACGTGTGGTCCCACTAAATTCAATTTAATGTTATATATATATGTGTGTGTGTGTGTGTGTGTGTATATTTGTCGTTCAGCTGTCGTCTACGTTGGACTCCATTGCATTGTCATTTTATTGTAATCTGCTATCATCTACGTTTGACATTGTTCATTGTCCTCTAGTCAAGTGTCTCTCGGGTTTGCTCTGTGACGAAGAGGAAAAGGGCAAGACTCTCACTGAAAACTGGAAAAAACCGCAGATTTTTGCGGTTTCAGTCATGTAAACGCTGATTAATGAATGAATATGATTATAGTGGGTTGTCATGGATTTCACGTTTTCAACTGTTCCAAAACTGGTTCGGTTTTGGCTTGGCGCCCTCCGGAGATCGCGCGAAGCCATCGGAGATCACTAAGCACGCAGAGATCTCGAGCAACCCCCTTTTGGATATCGCAAGCCACTTCGCGAAGATTGTTTCAGGACGGTGACGGAGAATCCCGGTGTTCGTCTTCAAAGAGAGAGAGAAGAGCGAGTTTGGGAGGAAGAAGCAGAAATCATATCCTATTTAATTTGGGGGTATATTTGTAATTTTGAACGGATGTTAATCCAGATTTACGCCTAAATCGTTTATTTATTAACTATATCTAAACCTTGGCCTATTAATTTTCGTAGCCATGGTGGAGGTCATTCTTCACCGTAAGTAGAAATCCGCCGAGGGTCCTTCCCTGTCCTTGGCCACCCTGCCTCCTCCGCTGTATCGTGACCGCAGGCACTCGCCGCCCCGCCGTTCGTCGCCACCACCGCCATCGCCGTATAAGCGGTTGAGAATGGACGACGGGAGGAATGGGGGAGGGTTTGAACACGGTGATACAAGGTGAGGGGATTCTTCCTTCTTTGTCTATAATAATTCGTGGCCAGTTAATATGAGATTATGCTGTTTCATGTTTGCTTATATATTGGTGCTTTCTTTTTTTTTTTTAATTCTCTTACTCAAAGTTTGTTGACATCAATGAGCTTATATATGTATGTACTGAATAGACATCATGAAGAAGTCAATATCAGTTTCTATACATATCCCAATGATCACTATTTCTATAGAAATACGTATATATCTAATTTGCACAAGATAAATAAGGCATTGTCTTCTCTTCTTTTCTTTAACAATTATATATTACACAACCCAATGGTAACTAATACAATCTAGTTCCAATACACAAAAACAAAGAAAATTTCCTATTCGTGTGTGAATTGATGACATCTGAAAGTAAATACAATTTATTCAACTGACATAAGAATTCACCTATGCATAAGTCTATATATGTGTATTCATATATATACATAAGTACGTTAGTGTGTGTAAAATATGTTTTCATTGTTTTGAGTCTTCATGTTTATCAAAACGTCTACAATTTAATCTTATAATAAAAACTTCTCTATGAACCTTGCATGCTTTGATTTTAAATCTCGAATATCAAGTTGTTTTTGTTGATGTTTAAATAAAGTTGTTTATTATTTCCTAGGAGAATAACAGGGTTTTGCGATCTTTCTGAAAAGGTAGTAGTGGAAATCATGTCAGGGTTTTGCGATCTCTCATAAGCACTCTTATGAAAAGCCGATGGTTTGTGGCAATACATCTCAAGAATTCTAAAAGCCATCCATTCTTATTTCAAACTTTGCTCGTAATCATGAAACTACAAATTTGTTTCTGACTCTCAACATGTTACGACATGTAGTACAGAAAAGCAATTGTGCACCTTGTCTCAGGCAATTATTCCTTGTAGCTAGATTAGTTAATTTACTTTCTATTTGTACGTTTCTGTACAGTTAGTTTTTTGTACCTCCACGTGTACTTTAGTTTGATCATCTCTTGTACAACATCAGAGTATATAGGGTGCGTTTGGAATTGGTTCCAAAACGTTTTTATTTTCAGTACGAAAATGAAAATGAAAACGTTTTTAGTTTCATTTTTGAATTATTTCTAAAAATGCGTTTGGTAGTTTTATTTAGAAATTGATTTCAGTTTTAAAAAAAACTGAAACTGCGTTTGGTGGTTTAATTTTTGAAAACGTGTAATAATATATTAAATAAATAATATTATTA